TTGATCTCGCCCTGCGACCGCCACGGGCGGGGGGGGGGGGGGGTGGGGCCAAGCAGCAACTGCCCACAGGCGCTGCCGACAGTGTCAGCAGCGCCTTTTTATAGAGGGTGCACCACCACGCTCAGGGGGGTGCACATGCACCTGCGTGCACCCCCTACATGTCGCCAACGCCCGATAGACCTATCATTTCAAACCATGGAACCCTAACGGAAGAAATATCAGGTTTCATCAAATCCATCTTAAAACTGCTCGTCACCCAAAGACCGAGTTTTATGCAAGACTGAACTGACTTCCTGCAAAAACTCAAAACACAGACCACCTTCCCAGCAATACCCTCCCAGCCGGCATGGATGTCACTAGCTTATACACCAACATCCCACACCAAGATGTCATCCAAGCCTGCATCACATATCTACAAGAACAAGATTACAGCTCAACTCAGAGCACAGACCTCAGGATATCACTGAACTCATGTACTTCATCTTCACACATAACAACTTAAGTTTCAACAACCAACACTTCGTCCAGACTATGGGCACAGCTATGGGCACCAAAACGGCCCCATAATATGCCAACCTTTTTATGGCCCAGCTAGAAGAAGATTTCCTCAAGAAATGCACCATACTATACCCGAGATACATAGTTTCACAGTTGGTAGGGTCAGAAGGGACCTGAGCAGATCATCAAGTCCGACCCCCTGCCATGGACAGGAAAGAGTACTGAGGTCAAACAACCCTGGCAAGGTGATTATCCAGCCTCCTTTTGAAGACCCCCAGGGTAGGAGTGAGCACTTCTCTTGGAAGTTGGTTTCAGATCATAGCTGCCCTGACTGTGAAGTAGCGCTTCCTGATGTCTAGCCTGAATCTACTCTCAATCAGCTTGTGGCCGTTATTCCTTGTTACTCCCGGCAGTGCTTGGGGGAACAGGGACTCTCCCATTCACCACTGGTCCCCCCCTGGTAAGTTTATAGATGGCCACCAGATCCCCTCTCAGCCTTCTCTTGTGGAGGCTGAACAGGTTCAAGTCCCATAGCCTCTCCTCGTAGGGCCTGCCTTGCTGCCCCCTGATCATGCGAGTGGCCCTCCTCTGGACCCTCTCCATGCTGTCCACATCTCTCCTAAAGTGCGGCGCCCAGAACTCGACACAGTATCCCAACTGTGGCCTGACCAGTGTCACAGAGGGGGAGGATCACCTCCTTGGACCTGCTCGAGATACATCTGTGGATGCATGACAAGATGCGGTTAGCCTTCCTGACCGTGTCCCCACACTGTCGACCCATGTTCATCTTGGAATCAATAGTGACCCCAAGATCCTTTTCTGCCTCTGCACTGACAAGAAGGGAGGTCCCCAGCCTGTAGGTATGCTGCTGGTTCTCCCTCCCCAGGTGCAGTACCTTGCACTTGCACATCCTGTTCCCATCCACCCACCTCTGTAACTTGTCTCGATCTAGTTGTAGCCTGTCCCTCCCTTCTAGCGTGCCCACCTCTCCCCACATCTCAGTGTTGATCACAAATGTGAACAGGGTGCTTTTCATCCCCTCATCCAAGTTGCTGATGAAGATGTTGAACAGTGCAGGCCTGAGCCATGGGGGACCCCACTACTCACATCCCTCGAGGTCAAAAATGACCCATCCACCACCACTTTCTGGGTGTGGCCCTCTAGCCAATTGGCGACCCATCTGACTGTGTAGGCATCAACACCACAGTCGCCTAATTTTTTAATGAGAATGGGGTGAGAGACAGTATCGAAGGCCTTCCTAAAGTCCAGAAAGACTACGTCCACTGTGACACCGGCATCCAAGGCTTTTGTGACCTGGTCGTAAAAGGCCACCAGGTTGGTCTGACAGGACCTGCCCCTAATGAACCAATGTTGGTTGCCCCTAAGCATAATCTCCCCTGCTGGTCCCTCGCAAATGTGCTCCTGGATAATGTTCTCAAAGAGCTTCCCCAGGACCAAGGTAAAACTAATGGGCCTATAGTTGCCTGGGTCCTCCTTCCTCCCTTTTTTGAAAATGGGGACCACACTGGCCCTTTTCCAGTCCTCTGGTACCTGGCCAGAGCACCACAAGCGCTTGTAAAGCCGTGCCAGGGGTCCCGCAATGACCCCTGCCAATTCCCTCAGCACCCTGTGGTGGAGATCATCTGGACCTGCTGATTTAAATATGTCCAGCCCCACCAGAAGTTCCCTAACTAGGTCCCCTCTCTGACCCTAGGCCTGGCTGTGCCTCTCCTGAGACTGTACGGGATCGCGCCCGGGGGAGGGAGGAAGGAATATCCCGGTCTCTGCTCAGAAAAATGGAGGCAAAGAATTTGTTAAAGAGGTCAGCTTTATTGTCTGGTGCAACCACCAGATTCCCAAGTATGTCCTGCAGGGGCCCCATGTTACCTGGTGCCTTCTTTTTACCCTCTATGTATTTAAAAAAGGACTTCTTGTTATCTTTGATCCTGGTCGCTAGTCCTAGTTCTGTCTCCGCTTTAGCCTTCCTAACAGCCTCCCTGCAGTCCTGAGCAATGGAGATATAGTCCTCCTTGGTGATGGCCCCTCCCTTCCATTGGGTAAACGCCTCCTTTTTAGCTTTCAGACATTCCTGAATGCCTCTGGTGAGCCATGGGGGCTTCTGAGCACTACTCTTGCCCCCTTTGATTCACATTGGGACTGTCACCTTTGGGCTCGGGGGATCATCTCCTTAAGCAACGACCACTTGTCTTGAACTCCCAACTCCCCTACCCTCTGGGACCTCAGAGCCTCCCTAACTAATCTCCTTAACTCATTGAAATCAGCCCTCCTGAAGTCAAGGGCTACTGCCTTGCTGCAGGCCTTTGACACCCTGTGCTGTATGGTGAATTCCAGTAGGCAATGATCATTATCCCCCAGGTGGTCAAGAACCTGCAGTCCCCTCACCAGGTCGTTGTTTGTGGCCAGGACCAGGTCCAGCAAGGCATTTCCCTTGGTGGGACTGGGCACCTCCTGGGTTAGGTGCAATTCCCATATCTTGGCTAGGAACCTATGTGAGCGGTCAGAACTGGCTGACTGCTCCTCCCAGCAGATGTCCGGGTAGTTTAGGTCACCCATGATGACCACATCCCCTTGACTTAACTGCCTCCGCGAGCTGACCTGAGAATTCCCGGTCTAGCTCTTCCCCCTGGTTGGATGGTCGATAGTTGACCCCCACCATTAAGTCCCTTTCCCCCAGACCCCCTTGTATTCTGACCCAGAGCACTTCAGTCTGCCCCTCCTCTGACCCAATGCTACTCGTTGAGGATGTGTATTGCTCTTTGACGTAGAGCGCCATACCCCCACCTTTCCTCCCTGTTCTATCCTGCCTGTACAGTCTACAGCCCTTGATGTTTACCGCCCAATCATGAGCTGAATCCCACCAGGTTTCAGTGAGCCCCACTATGTCTGGGTTTGTGTTAGCTAGCAGGAGGGCAAGTTCCTCCTGCTTGTTCCCCATACTATGAGCATTAGTGTAGAGGCATTTAAGACCTCCTATGGGTGCATGCACCACCCCCTTGGTGACAGAGATGACATCTTCATCATTTGGACCGAAACCCTGCAATCTCCGAATGATTTCCACCAAAAATTCAACAATCACTACCCCTCCATCAGACTGTTGCTTGAATACTCTAACACCAGAATTTCCTTACTGGACACCATGATCAATATCCAAGATGGTAAAATTCAAACCACCATATATAAGAAACCCACTGTCCAACATACATATCTACACAGAACCAGCAATCATCCTAAACACACCAAGAAAGCTGTAATTTACAGCGAAGCTCTCCAGTCCCACCGAATTTGCAGCAAGAAGAATATCTGCGACTGCCACCTCACAAATCTCAGAAAGGCCTTCAGCCAACAAGGGCACTCCTCCAGAGAGATAGATCGCACTTTTGAAAGAGCCACCCAGATACCACGTGAAGATTTGCTACAGTACAAAAAGGAAACCCCCACAAATCACACACCATTAGTGATGACATACCACCCTTCCCTGAAACCTACATAGAAAATCCTCAAACAACTGCAACCTATACTAGAAGACCCCATTCTTAAAGAGATCTTTCCAGAACCCCCAATCCTAGCCTTTAAACAAGCACCGAACCTCGCTAACCTCACCATCAATAGCAAACTCCCTATGACCCAAACCATACCCGATGGATCCAGACCATGCCAGGACAAGAAATGCAAAACCTGCCAACACATCTCCACCACCCCCACAATTACTATACACCCCACAACAGAGTCATCAGCATTCCTGGATCTTACAGCTGCACTTCCAGAAACATTATACATCTCATCCAGTGCACCAAATGCCCTGATGGAAAATATGTAGGAGAAACCAAACAACAACTGCGCACCAGAATGAACACACACTGAGAATCTGTCAAGACAAGAAGACCCAACTACCTGTGGGCGCACGCTTCTCACAGGACAATCACTCCCTCTCCAACCTCTCAGTTCTAATCATCAAAGGGAACTTACAACACACTTCTCATAGAGGAGCCTACAAACTTCACTTCATAAATCTACTGGATACAAAAAATCATGGACTCAATACAGACACTGGATTTATGACACATACAACCTGCCTAACATCTGATTCACCAGGTACCTGCCAGACCTGACCTCTTACATTCTTCTTTCCCCCCACCTTTTCTCCCCTCCCCTCCTTTTCTGCCTTTTGTTTTCCTGATTTCCAACTATTTCCTTTTTCATTGAGAGCCTCTTTTTTATCTTGTATTATCACTGTAGTGCTTCCCTTTGGCCTTTCCCCCACCCTGCTTTCTTCCCTCTCTTTTGTCTTCCTAATTTCTACCTATTTAAATTTTCACTGACATCCTTCCACACCTTTAGCTTCTCTCATTCCTTGGAGTCTCAGACCAGCAGAGACTCCCTACTCCTGAAGAAGGATGACTGCGCCTGAAAGCTTGCCTGGAACTTTTTTCCAACTACTCAGTTGGTCTAATAAAAGATATCACATCTACTCAAACAACACTTTCTTAAAGGGCCACTCACCACAAGGGAGCCACAGTCACATTCCTCACCAGCCTCCACAAACCCATTGCCACACTCAGGAGGGTCCAGAAGCTGCAGGGGAAGAAGAGGGGGAAAACAGAGATGGAGGCGTGGCCGCTGCCCTTTTCCCCCTCCCCATGCCTCCAACGTGAGCTGGCCCATGGGTCAATGCAAGCAAGGCCGCCAGTAAGAGCCTGTCTTTGGACAGCACTGAGGCCCACCAGGCATTGCCTAGACAAAGGGCATGAGGCAGTCCCTGCCTCAAAGGGCCCTCAAGTTAAACAGACAGGAGGGGAAAACACAACAGAGTGGCTAGAGGGAGTGCATCTCCCTGGCCTCTGTGATTTTTCATGCAGACTCTGCACCTGGCTGGACGATGGAGTGGGGCCTGCCCCTGTGACTCAGCCAGACACTCCCAGAGGAGCCCCGGGTTGCATTTTACAATTGGAAGTGACAGAGTCCAGGAAACAAAAGCAGCCAGCTCCCTTTCTGTCTGTTCCACAGCCAGCAGCAGCCACACCACAGTCCTTAGTGGGCAAAGACCCAGCAGGATGCAAAGACTGCCCTTACCCTGCCCACAATACACAGGTAAGAGGTGGAATCTGACCCTCGGACCGCCCCCAAGGGTCTCTGCAGACTCATTAGCAGCTACGCACTCCCCAGCAGCCAAACCAGAGTCTGCACTGAACCCAGCACTGCCAGGGCCTCTGGGAAGCTCCAGCTCCAAGCAATGCACATGCTGCCAGCTCCCCTACCTGGTGGCAGTGCCAAGCTCTGGGTCTTGTTCAGGTCTTGGTCTTTCTCCTGAGAGCGGACAAGGGAGTGATGTGCAGGCGCTCTCTGCAGCATGACAGAGACCTGCCAACCAACATCCCACAGACCAGCTGACAGTAACGGCCCCACAGCTCCTCCCAGAGCAGCTTGTGTCTGAGCAGAGCAGGGTGGCTCTGCCAGGCCCTATCTGCACGGTGACAGAGGGAAGTCCAGCCCCAAAGCCCTAACCAGACAGATGGGTGGAAAAGGACGGTACCTTTAAGGGCTGGTTGAAGAGGCAGCTTCCCCCACCCTCCTGCAGGAACTGATTGTACTCATCAATGCTGCAGCGTGAGAACTTCTGAGGCTGGTAGTAGCTGAGAGCAGGAGAAGGCATGGTTACACCTGCCCTTCCATGTCAGGATAGGCACCTACTGCAATGCCCTACCCACCACCAACAGCACCATCTCCTACTCCCCAATAGCACCCAGACAACACACTACCACCCTCACAAAGCACCCAGGGTGACTCCCTACCACCCCATCATTACCAGTACACTCCAGGACCACCCCCCACCATGCAGAACAACCTATTAACTCCCCACAGCTCCCAGTTTGATCTACTACCATCCCCTGGCACCTAGCACCATCTGTTCACCCTCACACAGCACCCAGGGTGGTCCCCAGCACAGCCAGGGCCAGGTGGCCTCCTGCAGACTGTTTCTGACCATGCAGCATGCCCTGCCCCCCGGAGCTGCTGATTCACTGATTTGCCCACAGACTAAGGAGGCTCCAGAACATAAGTCTGTATCTTTCACCCTGGAAACAGACTGGGGAGCAGAGGCCAATGTGGGGACAGGTCTCATCCAGCACCACACTACGAAGTCATGGCAGTGCTGGGAGCAGAGCACCTCGAGGAGCAGCTACAGTAGCAGAGGCAAGAACATAAGAACTGCCATTTGCTGGGTCAGACCACAGGCCCACCTTGGCCAGCCTTGTCACACGGTGGCTGAGAACAGATGCTGAAAAGGAGAGTGAACTGATCATAACCTGGGTTAATTCCACTGTTCCTCTCTCACTTGAAGCCTCCAGCATTTAAGGTCTAAGAAGTTTTGATTCAGAGGCTGTATCCCCATCTCCCATGTTCAATAACTACTGATGCTACTTTCCTCCAAGAATTTGTCCAGTCCCTTTACGAACCTGGCTAAATGGTCAGCTTCCACAACAGCTGGTGGCAATGGGTCATAACCTGCAGTGCACTACTTTTGTCTGACGCGCCTGACACACCCATCTACTTGTGTGAGGCAGACCTGGGTGCTGTCACTGCTCCTGATCCCCACTGGCCTCTGAAGCCTCATAAACAAATGCTTGCTCCTCCCTTCCTTCATGAATGCACCAGCTCAGCAGGTCCCTCCTTTACAAAGTAGCAGGGTCCAACACTCTGAGCACAAGGCCAGGAACTCCTGCTCAGGTTTGCCATTGAGCTGCCATTGACAATCCCCTGTCCAAGTGGCCCAGCTGTGCTTCAGTCTTGTTGTTTGTTCTCAGGGCAGTGTGGACACGAGGAAAGAGCATGTGAGAGACCCTCCAAGCATCAGGGACAAGCTGGGTTCCAGACAGGGACTGGATACACTGTGGCCTGGTCTACACAGTTCTACTGAAACAACTCAGCAGCAGAACATCTTCCCCTGACACCAGAACAGTGCCTGTTCCATGAGCAACAGAAGGCTTCTGCCACCACTCAGTGGCTCGCAGAAGGCATGTGTGTGCTCTTCTACTAGCTCCTGTGGCTGCTTCAACAGCTAGCATCTTCCAGGGTGCACTGGGCACCCTGCCCTGCTGATGCACCTGCTGTAATAGAGCTGCAGGGTTCTGGCAGGAGTTGTGTGTGTTTGCCTGTGTTCAGACAGCTTCCCCATGGCACCTGATGCATGCTGCCAGGGCTCTGGTGTAGACAAAGCCTATCATAACACAGGGTTGGGAGCATATCAGGAAGGAGAGGCTTCCATTTCAGACCAGGCAGAAGAAATCCCCCTAGCCGCAGCCAGCATGCAAGGCGCAGGCAGCTTCACCCAGGTAGACATCAGGTAGGTCAGACCCTGTCTCGGGCCTGCTTACAGTTGCCTCCTGCTCAAATCACTGACAAAACCCCTGATCTCTGCAGTGGTGCATGACTGGACTTCCCCAGCTTCCAGTATGACAGAGAGATAGGCTGGAGGAGATGTCACCTCTCTGCTCCAATGGGACTGGCTGAGATGACTGGAATGCTGTCCCTGGGATGGTCTACTTGAAGGCCCTTGGCTGAAGTGATAGAGTTCAAGCAACCACGGGACTGTCAAAGAGCTCTTCTGCCTCCTGTGCCACCTGGTCTCCTTGAATGGAAGTGGAGGGAGGGTGAAGCAGGATGGATCCAGTGACCCTGCTCATCTTCTGGCAGTCAACGCCAATATGGGACAAGATGCACCTTGGGGAAGGTCACGATTGCCAAGTAGAAGACAGACTGACTTTCCACCAAAGGGTGGTGGCTGAGATGGTGGCCAGGTACACCTTAACCAAGCTAAGGGACAGGTCACCCCATTCAGCTCCAGCTCCAGGTAGTCCAGGATCACTGAGGTGGAAGCTTTATAAAGGGACAGGGATCTTGTGTGACACCAGACCAAAAACCTAAAAGTCAAGAGCTCACAAAGTCCCCCTAGTTGAGTCCAATCTGTTGTGCATGTGCATTTCTCTCATGGGGGATGAGCAGGCTTGATTGATTGTCAGGAGCTCCCCAGTATCCCTGCTGCAAGGTGAGTAAGGCTTAAACACTGAATGAACTGCCTCCCCTCCATTTGGGGTGAGTGTCCTGCAGCTCTTCACTGATACCATGGACCCAGAGTTGTCTTGGCCTGGCAGGCTTAGTAGGATCAGCTGTGCAAAATCCTGACTTGCCTTGAAAAGTACTTGCACAATCAGAAGTGTGGGGAGGATGGCATCTAAGAGCTCCCAGACCATGGGATGAGAAAGGCATTGAACAAGGAGCCCAGCTAAATTCCCCCTGGAAGAGAAAGACCAGCACTTCTTGTTGATATCTGAGGCAAACAGGTCAATCTGATTCCCCCAGTCTGCAAAGGTGATCTGAAGAACAACTTCTGTTCCCACATGAACAGGAACGTGTCTACTGAGATTGCCTGCACTGGTACACAGGCCCTGGGAAATGCATCAATGGAGGATGCATCTGAGGGTAGAGCACTGAGCATGCACTTCACACTGCTCTGAGCACCAGAATGTTGATTCCAAGTTCCCCCAACACAGAGGTCCAGAGACCTTGCGCTTGGAGATGGTGAACCTGTGCTCCCCACTCTAGTAGTAACATGTTTATCACAATGGTCATCAATAGCTAAGAAGGGAGGAATGTGATCTTCTTGCATGTGTTGGATAGGTTTTTGCATCTTGTCAGAAAAAACCCAATCAAGAGAGGATGCCATTAAGCCTGGCTTCCAGTCTGGAGTCAGAACTGTGGTCTCCTCACAAAACCGTGGACAGGGATCTCTCTCTGGGATGTGCGCTGGGCCTGAACTCCATAGATGCCTCCTCAGAGAGATAGGTAGCTTTGATGGGGAAGAGGTGTGCTGATGATCCATGCCCCACAGAGTCCTGGTGTCTGGGATCAGAAACTAACCCCCCCACAGGCTTGCTCAGGACTCAAAAGAAGCCCAGAGGTCACCCTGAAGAGGATCACAGAGGAACAAGAAAAGCAAAAAGAAAAAATGTTATGGACAGCTCTGTCCAAGTGAGGACAAAAATGGTAAAAAGATAAATAAAGATTTAAGCAAAAGGGCACAGGAAGGGCCGGAGGCCAAATTGACTAGAACCATCTTGAAAGAGCACCCCATCTTGAGGCAAGAAAGGTGAGAGGTGTTGAGTAGTGGAAAGTGCCTACTGCCCTCCATGCCCTCAGCATGGATCATGACAGGGAGCAGGGATAGGGCACACTGTATGGGTACTGCAGGGTATGGAAGTCCTCACACGCAAGTGCCTGAGGTGCGGACACACCCGCAGTGGGTGTGCCTATGTGGACAAAGGATGCCAGGCTGCAGGGTCCCTCTTCTTGGACTGGGAGGGTCACACTTGCCATCCCAGAGCTGACTGTGGGAAGAATTCAGAACGAATTAATTCAACACTGCTGGCTGCTGTTCAACACATCATCTGGACCACCCAGGGAAGGAGAAGCTTCTCACAGACAGGTACACTGTGCTATGATCCATCTAGCAAAGGAAGGCCGTATCAACCCGACCAAGAGCTTCAGCTCTCCAAGAGTGACCTGATTGCAGGAGGAAGTGAAATTTGCCTGGAATGTGCTCCAGGTACAAGGATGGTGAGGCAGGTCTCTGTATGAACTGCAGGCAGCAATGAGTTCACTCCCTCACCAGGGCTTGCCCTTATGCTCTGATAGCACATCTAGGAACACGCATTTATCTCTGCCTTCCCCATCCATTCCAGTGGCCCATCAGAGCTGCTTCAAATGGTCGCTTGGCACATGAAGCAGTCAGTGCTCCCACTCACACCCTGCTGGAAACATGGGACTGGAGCACACCTCTGCTTAGCATCAGTCCAGGGATGTAGGATCCCCTGAAGCTAATACCCCTAGGCCTACAAAGGGGAACCTCAGCAATTGTGGTGAGACAGAGGAGGAGCTCTTTCACGTGCATGGAACCTATCAACATGAGTGAGTCTGTATCAACTGAATGCATGAGTAATACCAATGACGTATTAGTTATGTGTATAGGAGTCAGTATCGACTGGGTGCCAAGTGTTGTTTCTATGCTGTGAGACTAAGTCCCCACCTTGCTTTGACCCAGCTGTTCCAAAAGGGGAACTCACCCAGTGTCTTCCATAATGCATCCCAGCCAAGAGTCTGGACACCTGCAGTCGCCTGTGGAGAGATGGAGTGACACTGCATTAGGGAGCAATGTCCCCTTCTGGTCAGGCACAGCACAGGAGTCAATGTGACAAATGGAGGCAAATCAAACCCTCTGGGCAACACCTGCTTCATAACTTTGGGAAGAATCTCATCGTGCAGGCACTCTCCAATCCTTCTCCAATGAACACCCCCAAAGCAGTGGGACTCAGGTTTCCCTCTGAAATGGAAACACAATGCCCCATCCTGGCTGTTTCAGGCTAAGGTCCAAATTGCCCTCCTAAGTTCTAAAGCAAAGGATGTGCCAGTCTCCTGCTCAACCCAGAACCATTGGTTCATCCCATGCATTGCCCCACCACCTGCCAGACCACAGCTAGACAGCAGGTATTCCTATCCTGCCCTTGGCCCTGGTTGTGGCCCAGAGGAAAGCCAAAGCTATCAGTGGAAGCACCACGGAGATACAGATTTGTCCGACCTCCCAGTCCCTTTGAACAGTCTCTCCTCCTGCTCTGAAAACTGCTTGAATACCTGGCCCCAGTGCTGCAAAGGGCAGGGGGACTGGGAACAGGCCTTCTGCACTTGTGCCTACTCTGAAAACAGTCCTCAGATCCTCACTCTCCAGTTCCAGCACCAAATTGTAGACTCACCCCATTCCCCCCACCCCAGTCAATGTGGCGTCTGCTTTCCCAGTCTTCCTGATATGCGTAGCCCATCTCGCACACGCTGGCACACAAAGCCCAGCTCACCCTGTCCAGAGCTGACTACAATGGAGAGTGGTAATATTTGTTCCCATAAGCTCCTGGGCCAACATACCCCGAGGGTGAGGACTGGATAACCTGACAGAGAACATGATCAGGACATCAGGCTTAATGCCATAGTCCCTGCAGAAAACACCAGGAGTTCTCACACTGGCCAAAAGCACCTCAAGCCTCTGTATCTGTGTCCCACAGGGAGGGAAAACAGGGCCTTCTGCTGCATCATCATGATTATTTCCTGAAGCACCCTGGTTTCCCACCCAGGGCCTGACCCAGTTACTCCTGCTTAGCTCATGCTCAGTGCCCAATGGACAAGGTTGCCAAGCCAAGAAATTTTTTTTTTACTGACAGTCTGTAAGCTTTTTACTAACAGCCAAAATTTTCTACTAGCCTGTTTTTACTGATATATGCTTTACATAATGCAAATGCAACTCTTTTTCCAGGCTCTGCCCTGCTGCCAGGCCTCAGTCAGAAGGGATGGGTTTAAATTTAGGGGCTTAACACCAAACGTAGTAAAAAAGTAAAATTTGGTTGTTAGTAAAAAGTTTTCGGTAAAAAAAAAAAAAAAAAAAAAAAAAAAAAAAAAAAATGTTGGGTGCAGCAATGGTTTTACACTGTGCTGTGTCCCTTCCACACCAGGGCCCCCTGCTCACCACTTACCCTAATACCCTGACTACACCTTGCTGCTCTCCCCAGCCCATCCCCGCCAACCCTGCTCTGTCTGTCCAAACAAGAAAACCTAAAGAAGCTTACCTGCAACCCATAGTATTACAGGCAACCTGGGATGCAGCAGCAGCACATGGATGAAAGAACACTCCCTGCAGGGTGCTGCACTCCAGCTCGAAAACCAGGTGGAGCCATTGTGCTCTGCTGGAGATTCAATCAAGCTGTGGCTGCTTAGGGTTTTACTGACAGCTAAAGTTTTTCTTACAGACTTTACTGATAGATATTCTTAGCTTGATTATTTATTTACAGTCAGTAAATTTACTGATGGGAACTGAACAAACACTATACGGACAGCAGTGCCTGCCTGGCTACCTTCAGCTGCTCCTAACACGCACAGGCATACATATATGCACACGCCCAAATGCCAGGGCCAGACATTGAGCCCTCACTCCCCAAACAGGTGATGTTACCTGCTGAGCTCCGGTGCTTGTTCCACATCATGCCAATGTTCTGCCCAAGGGTCTGAGCCAGAGTCACAGCCATGGTGCCAACATTCCCATACTGTTATGGGGGAGGGAAACAACAAAGCCATCAGCACGGCTGCAGGAGGAGGAACCCTATAGCCCCCAGTCATCAAGCTCAGTCACACAGGGAATGGAGGGCACAGCTTTTGGACACTCCAACATTTTTTGGACACCTAAAATCCTAAGAGCTTTTTGGTACAGTCTCCCTGGCACCCTGCTCCAGGGCTTCCCCAACCCACTGTGTAGCCCTACAACCCCTCAGGTTCTTGCTTATGACTCCATGACCCTCAGATCTACTGTGCAGTCCCAAGACCCCACATAAATCTTGCTCCATGACCCCACAGCCCTCCAGTCTTGCTTTCTAAAGAAGCAGTGTCCCCCAGTCTAGGCTCTGCTTGGGAATGAATTAACACTGAAGAGACCATACTCTCTCCTACCCCATGCACCACCCTCCTCCCACCCCCAGGAACAGGCCAGACTCTGCCCAACCCACCTCATTGATACCCCCTCCACGAGTGAGTGAGCAGATCCCCCCGACGTAGGCAGTCCCACTGCGGCTGCTCAGGAATGTCCTGCCGCTGCAGAGGGGCAAGGAGAGAGGAAGTGAAGGAGCAGCAGTCTGGCTCCATCACTCTCAGGACAGCAGGCCTGGTGGGGGAAGTGAAGAGGCTGTGTGCGCCTAACATAACACAGGCCAGAAGGCATCAGGACTTCTGGCTCCTTCTCTCGGTTCTGTCACCAACTAGCAGCTTTGGGTTTCCCCAATCTTAAAGCCCAAATTTTTCCTCCTGTCAAAGGGGACATTGACCCTGCCTTACCTCCCGGGACGCAGGGAGGGTTAGCAATCACACTTCAAAAGCAGCTCCCAGCTTGGGGGGGGGACACTGTGGGGAGTGAAGCAGGAGTGCTGGCTGGGTGGGACCCCAGAGCTGCTCCAGCCAGAGGTAGCCCAGGGAGCAGGGCAGGAGCACTGCCTCTGGCAGGGGGGTAAGGAGGGCGGTACAGCTATCCCAGCTCTCACGAGAAAAGGTGGACAGCGTCACTGTGCTCTGGCAAGGCTTCCTTCCGGTATTTCATGAATTCGCCTAGGGTCTCCAACGGATCTTCCTCCACTCGGATCTTGTCCTCCGAGGCCCACGTTTCCATGGCCACCAGCACAATACGGGTATTCAGCTGGTCCCTGTAGATCTAAAGGGTAAGAGGAAGGAGGCAGGACATTACATTCCCAGCATCCTTTGAAACCATGCCGTTTCCTGGGATGAGAGAGCCCTCCCCAGAGGGCTCTCCCAGCTGGACCCAGGCCCACTGCCTGTCCCACTCCACCTCAAGACCCTTCCCCCTCTCCTGTCCCAGACAAAAGGAGCAGTCCCCCCTGGCAGGGGGTCACTCTCACAGCACTCACCATGTCAGCCAGGTTCACCACAGACTTGGCAAAGTTGCTAGTGAGGAACACAGACTTGCGTAGCTGCCCAAACTGGAAAAGAGCACAGACAATGGAGGGCGGCCCCTGAACTGGTCCCAACAGCACTCCCGGTGGCCCGAGTAGTCCAGAGCTCCCCCCATACAGCGGGCAGCTTTTCCTTTGTACATCCAGCCCCTGACATCAAGCACAGCAGGAGATACCACACACTGGTGGGTGGGCTAAGCCCCCTCCTCTCAGGATGGCAGAGGCCTGGGCTGCATCACTCACCAGCTGATGGTCGTTGACCACCACAAGCTCAATGTACTTGGTCTCGCTGTGGACAGTGTGCTGAGCTCGCCGCACCTGAGGGGGCAAAGGAGATATGTGAGAGAGACTCAAGGTGATGTCATCTATGCGTGGACAGGGACGTCCAGGGGACTGAGGGAATGGGCAGATACAAAGGGAACATTTTGCTGCTGGATACAGACAGGCTGTGGCTCTGGGCTCACTCATGGCCTGCTCGCCTGGATGCCTGCCTCACTTGGGGCTGGAGCGGCAGCTGCTGAGCCTGTCTCATGGCCAGCTCTGGCCTCACACAGCTCCCATTGGGCAGCTCCCCTGAGCAGTCAGCTTTCCTTTCTGTGAAGAAATAAGGAAGCAGGGGCCAAGTTCCCCCAGGGTACAGTATACTGGGGGTGGGGGCAGCAGGAAGGTCAGGACCCAGTGCCCACACTCCTGCAGGGCTTTGACAAGCCAGTGGAAGCTTTCCTGGCCTAGGGCAGAGAAGCAAAGAGGTGCCAGCTTCCAGCATGGCCTTATGTTCTCCCTCACCTGCAAAGAGCAGTACAGGCTGGCCTATGCTTTGTCCCCTACCAGGTCTCAACAGAGCCCCAGGGGAGTAGGGGCAGCTGCAAGTACCTCCACCAGAAGATTACCGAAGGGTGGGCTGGGAGGGCTCTCCAGAGGCCATCTGATTCTACCCCATCCCACATCCAAGAGAAATGAATGGCAAGGCCAGGAGGCCACATCCTGATGCACAGGCATGACATGTGGGATGTGTTGGCCTGAATCAACAGCTCCTGTGACAGGCAGATTTGCTACTGCCATCATGACCCTGCAGCCACATTGGAGGGAGAGAGCCGCAGGAGTCACAGAGTCATCCTTGCCACAAAGGGACCCCAGGGGCAGAAGCAAGCCAGGCCAGTCTGGGTATTGCCTGCTGGAGAAGCTCCTCTGCTTTTTCCATATCAGGACAGCTCCCATGCAGCACTATGGGATTGGCAGCGTGGTCATAGCCCCTGTGCTGCAGCAAAGGGCTAGCTATATAGGACCCGTACGTGTGTATCCCCATCACTCCCTCCCCTCCCCTGCTGAGAAGCAGCCCCACCTGCCCCCTCCCCAGCTGGTTGGCTAAGTAGAGCCCCTACCTGCCGCCGCCGCCTCAGTTTTGGTAAACTGGCTGGGACATAGTGATTCAGCGCAGCAGCCAGACAGCCTGGGAACATAAGGGGAGGACACATCAAGTGGAAGGTGATGAGGCTGAAGCCCCAAGGGAGCAATGGAGGGCTCTCAAAAATGCCAAGGGTCAGAGGGCTGTGGACCAACGTGAGGCCAGTCTGGTAAGGTCTCTGCAGGCCAGGAGGGCTGGGTAACCCCCCTGGCCAAGTGACCCAGCAAACACAGCTGGGGGAGGATAAGTTTACAGCTCACAGGCAATTTTGAAAAGTTAAAAATAATTTGTCTTTGGCAAGGGTGGAAGAAGGAACCAAAAAGAAATATTGGAGTATTGGAGGAATCTAATATAGAAATGCACAAATCCCAAAAATGTTCATCTGGGACTGAACAAAACACTGTGCTTTGAACTTTGACCTTTATCTTTGATCTTACTTTTTGAAAATAAAATTAAAGGCAATTTTGAACTGGAAAGTCATTGACAACCTGAAACTTTCCCATATTTAAATTGTAGTAAATAATTTCCTGGGAAAACCAACACAAATTCATACAATGTTATGGAAATGCCGGGTCCAGGATTTTTCTGAAAACTGTTCCAAGTGAGCCTGTTTGCCCAGGTCTGCATGAGGGAGGAGAGCTCAATCCTCAGCCCAAGTTTGTCTGGGCCATCCAGGCAGGCTTGCAGGATGGTTATAGTAGCATAGCAGCTCCTGCAGATCAGCTACGTGCTCCCCGCTTGGCTCAGTGGCCCCAACACAGGCCTCTGGACCTCTGTCAGTTAGGTACAAATCCCACAGGCACCACTCACCTGGCTCTGTGCAGCCCTGACGATGGTGAGGAGCAGGCATGTGTTGGATCAGGTGAGGTTGAGGCCCCTGCTGCAGGGAACAAGAGAAAAGGAAGGCCACACTCTCACCTGGGCCACCCTCACTGTCCCAGAATAGGACCCAGCCCCAGGAGTCAAGATGCTTTTGTCTGCCAAGCATGTACTTGGAGGGGTGGTCCATGCATGGGCTGGGAACATGAGTCTAGATAAGAAGTCCATGTCCCAGGTGGGATGGTTTCATCTGCCTCACCAAATCCTGCCAACACCAGGTATATATGGGATTATTCTCCACTCATGATCAGAACCAGTGGGGGCTGTGCCACAGTGCTGGTGAGCAACCACTGAGAAGTACCACCATGCCACTGATAACCCTGCCTTGCCCTAACACAGAGGGGCAGGAAGCCGGTGAGTGAGCCCTGTGCATGAGGCGCACCAGAGTGAAAGAGGCTGTGGAGTGAGATGTTACTAATGTCACTGCCCAGTTCTCTTCCCGGAGCAGCAAGGGAAGGGAGCATAGCTGGGGTACACTGAAGTCTTCTCAAGTTTCATCAGAGCCTCTCAAGAGAGGTCCCTGGTATTCAAGCCATGCTGAGCAAGAGCCAGGAATAAGACCACAGAGCACCCCCATCTGACCAAGCCTCTGAGTAGAGAGCAAGCACCCCATGTTACAAAGAGCAGGAGAAATAGGGCATTTTGGCAGCTTGACACCCCCACCCAACCTCCACCCTGCCAAGTCCTGCACAAACAGTCCCAAAGCCAAGGATTTGCAAAGAGGACTAGGGTTACCATACATGTGGGTTTTCCCAGATATGTCCTCTTCTTGGGCTCTCCCATCTCCATATGGACAGTTTTTAAAAATATAAAAAAATGTCCAAGATTTTGCTCTGCCTCTGCTCAGCATTGAAGTTTTTCCTGGCACTTTCCAGCTTGCCCTAGCAAGGAGCTGCTTGGGGCTGGGGGAAGCAGGAGAGGAGGACTGGAGGCCAGGGCATTAAATGCATCTGCTCACAAGCCCAGGCAATGGCCAGCAGGGGAAGGGGGTGGAGGGTTCTTCAGGAGCAGCAGGAAGCTGCATGGGCAGCAGGGCTGGGGGGCAGGGGACTGAAGGTCAGGAGTGAGGGGCACTGGCAGGGCTAGCGGGGGGAGCAGGGGGCTGCAGGTTGAGCATGAGGGGCACCAGCTTGGCCCAGGGGGGTGGGGACTGTAGGCAGGGAGTAAGGGGCACTGGCAGGGCCAGGGGTCTCAACTCAGGAGTGAGGGACACCAGCATGGTCTGGGGGGTGGGGGATTGTGGGTGAGGAGTGAGAGATAGCAGCAGAGCTGTGGGTGCTGTGGCTTGGGAGTGAGGTGCAGGGGCAGGGCACGAGCACAGGCATATCACCACCTCCCAACAGGTGTCCTCTTTTTTGAAACTGGAAATATGGTAACCCTACATAGGACCCCAAAGCAGCCCCAAGTAAGCATGCTTGTGTTTCCCACCTACAAGAGACACGGTCAGAGAACAGGGGCTCCACCACTGACTACCTTTACGCAGGATATCACTGGGTAGGATGGAGCCCCATTCCTGTGAAATCCTCACAGGGCAAGGGCTTTGTGACAGGCCCCATAGAAAGGAGGTAGAGGGCTCCACAGAGTGCATGTTCCTGACCCCCCCACAGTGCAGTGCATCCCCTGACACCGGCCTCCCCACTACTCTGTGACCTGGGTCCCAGCACCAGCCTAACTGGAACTGCCCTGGCTGCACACCTTGGCCCCAGTGCCAAGGCCCTGATGTAAGTAAGCCTCACTCAGATGAGGAGGCAAGTCTCAGCGATGGAGCCCATCTCCCTGCCCCAGAAGCTCTGCCTTCAGGCTTCACCCCTAAGTGACCCCTCCCTCCTGCCTTGCACTACACTGACACCACCGGATCATTAATTGATGACTGCGGGCAGCCTGAGGGAGGCAGTTTCCTAAAGGATGGGCCAGCAGCAGGGTTGCAGGGATAGAAAATACCAGGATAGGATTTCAGTCATTACCTGCTGCCAGGCAGCTGGGTTACCACCCTGAAGGTGTGTTGGGCCAGGGGAGAAGTGGCGGGGGAACACCAGCCTGGGGCCATGGACACATGCAAAGATTCAGAGAAGCTCTGTGTGGCCAGAAAACCCTGCTGAGTTCTGAAGACCCCCAAACCAATCCATTCTGTAGAGACAGGTCAGTGCTGAGGTATGGGGGTATACCTAGGGTATGGGGAGCTAATGTAAGTGGAGTCTCCTTCCATTTGCTGCCATGGCAACAAGGGGTAAAGGTACACTGGGGAATACCTCTAGCTGCAACCACAGTTCTCAGGGCTATGCGGACTAGGGCTGGCAATACCAGGACATGGCACTGTGATCCTAGTCACCAGCACTAGAGTCCAAGCATCCAGGACCCAGAACTATGGTCCGAGTCCCCCAAACTTGGTACTGGACACCAAGCACTCAGGACCCGTCACCAGAGTCAAAGTTGCCAGAACCTGGAAGTGGAGTCCTCCATGCTCAGGACCTGGCACCTGAGCACGGAGAGAAGACGCAGGAGTCAAGCCCCTAGATCCCATCACGGGATTCTGAGCACCTGTAACTTGGCCCTGGAGGCTGAACTAGGAGCAAGGTGGGCTCTTGTTCTGTAGGTGGGCAGGGGTCAGTGACCTGGCCTGAGGCCTTCCCTTCACCTTCCCCTGGAAACAGCTGAGGGAAACTTGAGAGCAGGCCATTCCTGGCAGGTGATGGAATTCCAGCCCAGCAGCCCTCACCTGTCTGTGCTCAGCTTGCCCATAGGGCTCAATCAGGTAGGTGTCCCTCCCATCCGAGAAGACGCCACTGCAAGGGAAGCAGAGAAATGGGCACCAACCACCCTCCAGCTTCCTCCTGTATGGGTAGGCAGCAAGGCACCCCAATTCCTTGCCAAGGTGGAGGGTGCCAGTTTGCTGCCCCCCAATGTCACACATGGAGGCAGAAGAGGTCTCCTCCCACACACCCAAGGCTAATGCAGGCTGCTGAATCCCGTCGTGCCCACTGCTATCCCAGAAGGAGGAGTCTGCAGCTAGGTCTGTCTGTTCCTGCAGCCCCCACCCTGTGCTCTGGCCCCGCAAAGTGGTACTCACTGCAGTCCTTGGCAGCTGGAAAGGGCCACAAAGGAACGAGCCTGCCCTCGGAGCCCGCCCTGATAGTAACAATGCTCCCCCGAGCCCTGCAACATAAAACGAGGGGACAGGGAGAGGCATCAGATATCAGGTCACTTCAGGGAGACTCCAGAGCCCTGACCCCAAAGCAGGGAGGGAGCATGGTCAAGTGGGTGAAGCGAGGGACTGGGTGTCAGGGCCACAGGTTACTAATCCAGGTTGTGCCACTGATAACCCTGGGTGACCCTGAGTGAGTCGCAGGCCCCAACTCTTTCTACCTGTATGACAGGGATAGCGATCTATAGGCACTTTGTTTAGCAATGAAGGCTTTTCACAGAAAGCTTGGTTTGTTCCTCACATATTGGGGTGTGTCACACCTCCTCCCCCATTCAGGGCAGCGCACACCCACCCACCAGTGTGTCACAAGAGCTCCAGAATGCAGCAGGGCAGTGCCACCCAGAACTGAGTCTCATGCTCTGGAGGTATGCGCCCATGCCACCTGCATCCATGCGTGTGTGCACATCCAGCTGTCCCATGTGCTGGATCACTGGACATGGAGGAGAGGCCAAGGATGGAGATGCACCTTTTCCCCTCCATGAGGATGACTCTGTTGGCACTTGGCATGTCTGTGAGGCTACCTGGATACGAG